TTGACTTAGTTTTGATGGCTTGATAATCACAACTCGACTAGAAGAAGATAAAAAAAATTTGATAAAGGAAACAAGTGTAAATTGATACAATTTGATGAATTTGGTCTATACTTATGGATGTAGTAGCTCAAAGTACCTATTGAGAGGGAAGGAGTCTTCACATCAAGGATCAATCCTATTCCCTCTGTACACAGGGTTGATTGGGATGGGCAACTTGGTTGGGTTGCCCCATTGGTTACCTAAAATGGGGGTGCTATAAAGGCACAAAGTGAATGACTTATAAGTTTTCAATAGGGAATTTAGTTTCAGAATGTGTGGGGGAAGGTAGAATCCCCACTGAATAGTTTTTATCTTGTCTCTGCAGGTCTGGTGAAAGGAGATGGGGATACAATTCTTATGATTCAATAGTGAATACTTGGTATCATTACTAATTGCAAATTTCAGAACTGCAAAGTTAGAAGTTTTGTAACAAAAAGGGGAGTACGTAATTTTACAATCCAGGAACAGATGACCTTGGTTGGACAATCAAGGGAGAAGAGCATGAGCAGAATGTGGGACCCTATCCAGAGAAGCAGTGACATCAGAGATGGAGGCAGAGATGATGACATGGAGAGATAGTGCAGCCGAGTACTCTAGACTCATGGAAAGTGCTGGCAGCCAGGAGGCAGGCTTGCAAAATGTGCCCTTTTGCTGTTTAATGGTTATATATTCCTGAGTGTTTTTGTGTACATCCCCCACCAAAAACAAACAAACAAACAAACAAAAAACAGAGAGAATAGAAGCAAATACTGTTGTTGAATGATGATGCACGGAGGGGATTGTAATCATTGCAATGAAAAAAAATATGATAGGATGAGTGTAAAACCGATGTTCACCCATATAAACTATCACTCAATTCACACACAAAAAACTTAAAAAACAAAAACAAAAAAAGTAGCCAGCAGAGAGATGCAAGTCAAAATGACAATGAGATATCATCTTACTCCAGCATTAATAGCAAAGTTCAAAAAACCAGAAAACAACAAATGCTGGAGAGAGTGGAGAAGAGTATTGGACCCTTGTAAACTGCTGGTGGGACTATAAAATGGTGCAACCACTGTGCAAAACAGTATGGCACTTTCTTAGAAGGTTGGACATAGAAAGACCATATGATCAAGCAATTTCACTACTTGGTATATATCTTCAAGAAAAAAGAGCCGCAACATAAATAAATATATGCACACTCATTGCATATTATTCATAATATCAAAAAGATGGAGACAGCCTAGATGCCCATCAGCACAGGAATGACAGAACAAAGTTTGGTGCATACAGACAATGAAATATTATGCAATACTGAATACTAATGAATCTGCAAATATTGTGTAACATGGAGGAAACTGGAGGACATTTTGCTGACCAAAATTAGTCCATTGCAAAGACATAGATATTGTATGAGATCACTGCTGTAAAAAGTCAAGAAAAGGCTTTCATTCTATAATAAATGTTCTGTTATGACTACCAGTGGTGGGAGGGAAGGGAGAATTATTAACTGGGTAGAGTATAGACATGTGCTGATTAGAGTGAAGGGGAAGGTAATAAAAAAAAAGAAAAGGAAGAAGAAAAGGGGGAAAAAGAAATTGCTTTATTTTAATTTTGTCTGTTTTTCTCCCCTCTCATGTACTAGAGGGAAAACAATGTATATTTACTTTCTCATAAAAATATACCTTGGAGGCAGGCTTGATAGTGGATAGGGTAGAAATGCAGTGAGGATCTCTGGCAGCAATGATACAGAATACAGGATGAAGCAAGTTCAGGGGACAGTTCCAGAAATCCGAACCACATATATAGGCATATTTAAAAAGTTTGAAGGCTTATAGCCAGTGGAACTTGTAGCAGAAGCAAGACATCTTGGGCTTTTGAATTCGCTGGGCTTAGAGGCCCTCACAGCCAGAGCTGCCATCATGGGCTACGGAGAGGGAAGGGTCAAAGCCACCATCAACTGACTCCTGATGGAACCTCAGAGATAAAGGTGCAGACATTCTTTTTTTTTTTTGTATCTATTCATTGGTCTCTTGCTGTCTGCGCACCTCCATTCTGGTGACTAGAGGGGTTGCCTGAGCAAATGCACACCTCACCCACCTTGGAAGGTTCTACTATGCATGTGTACAGATCTCAAACTTTTAAATAAACAGTTTCCGCTTAAAACCAAACAGCATAAAATGGCCACAGCTGGCCCTGAACTGTTTATCACTAGGAAAAAGGCTAGAATGGGGCTTGTGAAGGGAGAGACATGGACTAAATCAAAATGGGCAA